GTTTGAAAAATCCTTTAAAATACTTCAAAGGATTTAATTGATAAATCTTCTTGCTAACTTGAATGTGATGCCATGTGGCTTGGGTGTTGAATTTAAATGGGCCTGGCCCAAAGCCCAAAACTAAAACAACGTAAAATTGGGCCAAAACTCGACCCGTAAACAAGTCTATTTGCAGCAACTATAGTTATTAACTAAATCAACGATTTTTGACCAAAAAATGGTTTTGGAGGGAAATGGAAGCGATTAGGTGATTGATTCTCAGCTTTTCCAGTTCGACCATCCAATTTGGCCGGATTTTGAAATCACTACTTCCGTAGGAATGAAAACAAATTTTCAAAAAAAAATAGAGAGTATTAAAACATGTAATCGGGATGAAAGACTATTGATGATGTGCGATCTGGTCGCTCCCTTGTGTCTTGTGACTTGGCTCGAACAAGGTTCCAATTTGGCAATGCCAAGCTGATGTCTGTGTGTTTGAGTTGAAGCAAGCTGCAAAGAGAGAAGGGTGAGAATGCCCAAATAGGTTTTACCCGGAAAGAACACTCTGATGCTTAAGTCAGTATTGGGTTTTCTTGAGAACATGTGAAAGAACTTAAGTGTATCAATGCGCATACATTTCTGGGTGGATTTGGAGTCCTTTTATAATTTATCTGGGGCTCAGGTGCCTTGGGCAACGTCTATCGCCTTTGATGGAGCTGTTTCCGCAATATGAGACATGTTAATATGTCAATTATTAGATTTGTGCAGCGGTTAAAGGTCGCTCGCTTAACTTGCAGTGTACGGTTTGGCAAACTGCTCCCATGGTCGCGATATCGACGCCCTCAAGGGCAGGGCATGTAAAACGGTTTAGGCAAGCTCACCTTGTCGGTTTCCCAAGCTCGCCCCATCTCAGCCATCTTCCTAACGATTCGTGCGAAGTACTCCGGATTGACCCGTTGAGCTGGCCTGCTGACTTGACGCTGCAGTGTCGATAACGTCCACATGTCACGTATGAGAGCACCAAAATGCCCCTCCTCAACTATCATCTTGTTTTGCTGCAAATGAAAATAATGGAAGACAATCATCGCTACTTTTTATTTAATTCATTGAAAAAAATGATTGGACCGATAATCGTGAATCGTGACAAAATACAAATCCGCTTGAACTTGATTGGGAGAGAATCCACACACAACGGAATTCTCTTTCAATTGGAAACGTTTAGGTGCGGGACGAGTCTTGCCTAAACCCTGCATTGTATCAATCAATACTCCAATTTGGGTTGTATTTTATTTTTGTTTTGTCGATCACAATTCAAAATGTTGTTGTTGCCGTTGCTGTTATGGTTAGTTTGGGTGTTGAATCGGGGTGGATTGATCTTGACCTTTCCAATTGGCCGAGTCAACCCTTGATGTTCCTTTTGTTTTTTTCTCATATATGCTCACGGGTGTCATTCTCCAATGGAACCCACCAGTGCAGGCCGGGTCTAACTAAGGGTGCAAATGGGTCGGGTCATGATCCGATCCGATTTTATTTGGCACAATCTGGATCACCTTTGGTCAGATTTTTGGATTCGGATCGCCCTTATCCAATTTGAGAAGATTCGATCCGTTGTGATATATATTTATAAATATATATAATATATATATATATGTTATTTATTTATAATATATTATTTATATTGTATTTTTATAAATTTGTTATATTATTTATTTTTTATAGAAAACATGTATATATATGATAAAAATAATTAAAAATTACTTATATTTTTTGCCTTTTATTTAAATTGATATATTTTATTTTTTCTTTTAATAATTTATTATTTTTTAAAGAAAACAAGTTGGATCAAATCAGATCTGAAGATCTAATAGGATTCGAATTCAAATCGAGTCCTATAAGATCCGATCGAATTTTCGGATCAAATCAGATCTAACATGAACGGTGCTGGATCAGATTCGAATATACCCTGATTTGAATCCAATACATTCCATTTGCATCCCTAGTTCTAAGAAGTGATAACCATTGCATTCGAGACATTAATTGACCCAATTAAATTTGAGATCTTTTTCTTTATTTTTTTATGGCAGAGTTTGAAAATGTTTATTTGGGAAATGAGTGATTAAAAACAAGTGTTTATTCTAATAAACGTTCATAAGTATTTAGTGCAAAAACACTTATCTCAAACAGGGGTAGTATAGGCATTTTTAAAATGATGTGGTGGGTTAAAATAGATTATATAGAAGATAAGTACTTAAAAATAAACCGAAATTTGGGTTTCTGAATAAGTGGTTATTCTCAGTAATAAGCATTTATTTGGGCTTATTTTGCAAACACAAATAAGTATTTATTGGTGTGATCCCAACCCAAAATAAATGCTTATTTGAATAAGGACTTATTTTTAAGTAGGGATGAGGAAATGGGTAACTTCTGCCACTGGAACCAAATGAAACCAACCTTGAACCGACACTACCCAATCTGTTATAGGGTAGGGTTTGGTTCTAAATTCTTGGAACCGACCCCCACCCAGGCCAGCTCCAGTGTTTAGGGGTTTATCCTACCCGAATTGACCCAATGAACCAACCTTGGTTGGTGTTGGTGGAACCTATCTTGGAACCAAACTTACCTTGAAATAAACCCTGGAATATTTTTGGGGATGTGAAGATTTGAACCCAAGCACTCCTGGTTCCAAAGGTCATTGTCTCACTTGACCATTGAGTTATTTTACGTGATTTGATAATTTGTTTTCATGTTAATATTTGAATGTGTATAACAGGTAATGTAAAAGGTACGCAATATTTACAAAATTTAAATCATAAGTTTTGAACCAGATAATGATAGTCTACATATCAATTTACACAATTTAATCAATAAAGATAATATAGGTTTTAAACTATATATATCATATTTATTGAAAATCAAGTTTTTAAAGAACATGTTTTTTTTTTTTTTTCTTTTTTCAATAGGGAGAGTAAACAAAGAACATGTTCCACAGGTAGACCTTAGAACCGACCTAGAACAGACCTTCACAGAGTAGGTTCTGATTCAAAAAACTTGAAACCGACCCCTATCAGGTAGATTCCAAATTCTACCATGGAACTAAACCAAAGCAAACCGACCCATGTCCACCCCTATTTTAAGTACTCCCAAACTTAAGTTTGTAACGGTGTCAGACCATCTACTTTCTCCCCATGAAAAAAATGTGTTCCATCCCTGGTTCTCCGCTGTGGTTGCTCCTCCACCTCCTGGGTTTTCCATTCACATGATCCTAAGTGCAAACCCATTATAACTGTCTGTGTGTGCGTGCATCTCAAGTCTAATCACACTTAAAGCAAACAAAATGAAAATGAACACATGGGGCGCACATGCAGCAGCGAGGCCTATAAGAAGAAAAGGTATAAAAAGAGAGTAAGAGAAAAGGAGGTTGTAAGTTGTTGTTATTGGAGGAGGCGAGATCAGGCCAGGCCCATGCATTTAAAACTGTGGAATGTGAATCTAATCATCTAATGCGGGGTGGGACTGAGAAGGAGCCCCACCCCCACCCCCACCCCCACCTCAAGTAGGATTTTGGATTGTAATCGCTAGTAATCCCCCTCACAGCTTTAAGAGAGTCAGCTGCCCTTCTAGCTCTGGACCTTCACACAATAACACACGCACGCAGACGCAGCTGCCGCCTTCAGTAGTCGAGTCGTTTTCGATAGTGGTGGCAAAAAGGGAAAGGGAGGGGCACTTAGGGTGGTCGTAGTTCAATCTCTGTGCCCTTTAATTACACCATTCACAAATGTAATAAAATCAGAAAATAAAACCAACAATATTAAATATCACCATCATCGAGTACACCCAGTTCACAACTAACTTCTGTCTCACTTTCACTTTATTATTTGTGTTTGCATTGCACAAATAGATGCCAGTTCTCTTCCTTGTATATCTGTACCTATTTAATTCTCTCCACTTTTTCTACCTGGAACTGGATTTAAACATTCAGATCTTTTGTGAATAAACAGCTTACTGCCTACATGTCTCATCTGATCATTCAACTCTCTTTTCTTTTTTTTGTGTGTGTGAGAGTGATGGGATTCTTTTCAACGCTGGGTGCAGAGTTGCAGACTAAGCTTCATCATTTTTATGTCTTTTGTGGGTAGTCTCGGATGCGTGTAGGTGTAGCTGTTAAAGGATGAGAGAGAGAGAGAGAGAGAGAGGGAAAAGTTTGTTTTGGGGCGTGGGTGGTTTGGGCGGGGGTTGTCATCGTCACAGCAGCGTATTCAGTGTTTTCAAAAATGAAACCTTCAAGCAAAAGTATGACTCATACTAACCTTATAGTGTTTTCAACCATGTATTTGATATCTCTCATATTTGTAATGCATGGTTTTAAAAAATGATTCAGAAATGAAATCATTTTAGCGACCAGTTTTTGGGTTAATGGTTTGATCGTTCGATTCAAATAAATGGTCCATTCTAACAATAAAAATTAAAAAAATAATAGCCAAAAATTATTGAATGGTTTAATGATTCAATAACCCGAATTAATTGATTATTGATCAATTCAATGATTTTTCACCAGAGACTAAAACAGAACCAATTGTGTGGATGATTCTTGGGCCAAACGATCTAACCATCTCAAATCAACGGCAGTTCAAAAATCATAAAAAATTGTTTATTAAGAAGAATCAAAGCTTTGCATCATAGTAAAACCTGTTAATATGATATGCCCTATTTGGCTTAGTAGATTGTATGATACTTTGAACCAGGGCTCATATGTGGAATGAAGTTGGTGTGAAGCTTGCTTTGAACCAGCTTTTTTTTGTTAGGAACCAAATTGTTTTATAATTATAGTGACGTGGACCTAATAGGCGAGCTAATTAACATGATAACAATAATCGGCCAGCTCAGCGGAGAGCAAACAGACAAAAGAAAGAGTCAAGTATCCTCTTGAGGAGTCCTGACCCCCAAGTCCCAACTGAAATATCAAATATAATGATGAAAAATAAAAAAAAAAGCATTATAATATAATATTTCATACAAAAAAATCCAAGTTAATTATCTTTTCATTGAAAGCAGAATCAAACAACATAAAATTCTAATTATCCTTTTTAAATTCTAAAATACGTACAGAAGCAAAAATAAAGAAATTACAATTCTTTTTTTCTTTTTTTTTTAAATGAAATTAAAAGGATTATTTATACAACAGGACAGGAGGAGGAGGAGGGTAATTAAGGTAAAGTGGTGTAGTGGACGGAGTCGGAATCGGAAACACTTGTCAGGGCAAGAAACTGTTCACATCATCTTCTCTGCCCTTCAATCCCAACTCCGTGTCAACTGCCGCCGCCGAGCCGGAGGTCTCCGGGAAGCCGCCGCACTTTTGACACCTGGCAACCACCAGAATCTGACGACATGAGGGACAGGACGAATGGGACCCCAGCCACGTGTCTATGCATCCGACGTGGAACGCGTGCCCACACTGCGGCAAGACTCGGATCTCATCCCCCTCCACGAATTCCGTCAAGCAAATTACACAGTCGACGAACTTCCCGTTCCCATTCAGGTCTCCTCCTCCATTGAAGGTTTGTTTCGGGAGTGAACGGAGGATCTTCTTTTTTAGGCCTTTGTTGGCCGGAGCCTGAGGCTGAGTGCGGCCGCTTCCTGCAGCCCCGCCCGAGACTCGGCGGAGCCAAGCGCAACGAGCTACGGCCACGAGGCCCACGACGCAAATTAGGGCACATAAAAGAGCTGCCAGGATGACGACGAAGTCCGAGTCCACCTCGACGGAGCTTGGCGGGTCTGCCGTCGACGAATTGACGCCTGCGAGAATTCTCAACCGAATTGTCATTGCTACACAGGTTGGGAGACAGACAAACAAACAGACAGACAGAGAGAAAGGGGGAAGGTGAAGGTGTGTGTGTTTCGGCGGAAATGAAAAAATGGAGAGGGTTTTTCGTTTTTTATCCAACGTTTTTATTATCGTACTCGGCGTGGTGCTTTTATAGCGAGAAAAAAAAAAAATGGAAGCATTATCACATAAAAATGGAATGTCTAAGAGGCCCAAATTTGGCCTAAAATTAATATTTAAGCATGACAGAGAATTATTTATTACTTATAAGGGCCTAACTAACCGTTTAAATAAAATATGAAAGGCTAATTTGTGAAAAAGGAAAAGTTGGAAGGGCTAATTCGGAAGTCCATGGTCTCAGTCAAGGGATAAGGTGTCAGTACTCGGGGCGAATAGCCACTCTTGAGGCCTCTTCACTCTTCTTTTGACATGATATTTTTTGGCCTGACGAATTTGCCCCGATTGATTTTGTACTTGGTACGGTTCATGCGTTCACAAGACGAGTTTGTCCTTGTACTCCCACGCCACGCGCGCTCGCTTTCCCTTGGCCCTGGCCGCCCTGTCACTTGCCACTTGCGAGGGGTTCTAGAATTTGTCCTACGCCCCTGCTCAATCCGATATTTCCTTGGCTTGGGCTCAGATCGGGTTCAGCTTGACCCAGGCTCAATCTGGGCCCTGGGCTGTTCTTAAATCGGATCGGGCTGAACACACAAACCTACAATTTTTTTCTGGTCCATATATACTGGTTGAAAAGAATATGAACTGGTGATTCCAGCCCAATTAGGACGTTTGGTTATAATATAAGCATAATAACGAAGAAAAATCTAATATATGGAATTTAATTTCTAACAAAGTGGAGCCCAAATTGACTCAAGCCCCAACAACGTAGTTAGGCTATGCATAAAAAAATAAATTAATGTTAGGCTCATTAATTTATGCAGGGTTGGTGGTTTGGTAATGCCTAAGTAAAAAAAAATCATTTGAAGGAATTATTTAATAAAAGTGAGTTCCCAATAGGCTATACATAGATAAAAATTAGGGTCTGTTTGGTTTGTCGGAATAGGGGTTTAGAATCGATATCGGAATAATCCGTATCTATTTTAATTATTTGATTGGGTGGAATGACATTCCTCCATTTGAGGGAACGGACATTCTTTCTACCTTTCTGATTCTGATTTCAGTCTGAATCAAACATGTAAGGGGAATAGACCATTCTAATTCTGAATATGAATCAAGTGAAACTTTTAATGGTTGAAGGTACTTAAATAACTAAGGTGGTATTCGGTGGTGTGGATTGACCACAATATATTCAGTTTCAATACACACCACTTCTATGCCATGCGTTTGGTTGGCTATAGTGTGGATTGATCAACACCACAATCCATTTTTTCATCCACGAGTTTATCTCGTGAAAGCATCTACACTATACCGTTTTGCATATGGAATAACGATCTCATACTTCACATGGATGTTTAGCCCTAGTATAAGACCTCTTTTCTTTTTACCGTTGTAATACTTCTTCGTGAGTTCGCCATTGTTATTCTTCTCTAGGGGTGAGCAAAAAAAAAAATTAAAAAATCGAACCGAAAAATCGGTTTATTGAACCAATCGGTTTGGTGTTTTTAAAAAACCGAAGGTACTGGTTAGGTTTCGGTTAACCAATATAGAAAACCCGTAGTTAACCGAACCAACCGGTATACATATATTTCTATATATTTTTTATATATTATAAATTAATAAATATACATAAAAAAACCGAGGAACCGAACCGGTCAACCGGTTAACTGGCTGATTTTGGTTCGGTTTCAGTTACCGATTTTCCAAAAATTGGTAGTACCGATTTGGTCCAAGAAAAAGCCCCATAGTTCGGTTAACCGAATCGTGAGCACCCCTATTCTTCTCTATTCATCATTGCTATTCTTCTTTATTTGAACTATGGCTGTAATTGGATTGGACTCAGATCGGATGCAACAAAACCCACATTCAATCCGAATATTTATAACGGACTCGGATCAGATCCAGATTTAATTCGGCTCTGCTATAAATTTTCTAATATACCAGAAAAATAAAAGTTATTTATTTTTCAACTTTTATATATAATAACTTAATATAAATATAACATACTAAATTATTATATATAAATTCATATATAATATAATATATTTTTATAATTTTAAATACAATTATACAAAGTTTATATATTAAAATTAATAAATATTGTAATAATTGGTTTCATATTTTAATTAGATCGGATGGGGTCAAATCTGAATCCAATCCGGTTATTAATCGGATGTAGATTGTAACATCTGAATCCGATCCGATTACATAAATACATCATTTGAATATGAGATAATCGGATTGGATGTTAGATCAGGCCTTGGATTTTCAGGTATTACTGACAAACCTAATTTGAACTATTCGCGACTCCTCCTCCGACCATTGCTGCATCGGATTGTTGATGGTAACTAGTAAGTATTCATCCTTTTTTTTTATTTTCATGCTATATTACTCTTCTCTATTTGAACCACTCGCCACCACTACTCATGTTTATAAATTAATATTAATATTATTTTATTAATTATTAAGTTTCAAATATTACTTTTATTAATATTAGTTGTTATTGATATTATTAATTATTATTAAATATTATTAAGATTGTTGTTATATCAATTATCACTAATATTACTACTCATTTTTAATTAATATTAATATCATTATTTGCTATTTAATATTATTAATTATTACTAATATTATTTTTATTAACTATTAAAATCCTTAGCAATTTACTAATATTTTTCAATTGTGTATATTACAAAAAAATAATATATTATTTTTTAATGATTAACGACAGATTACCTCAAATGTTGTAGTTGAGATGCATGGAATCGAATGTAATGTGTAGATTGAAATATGTCACACCTTGCAGAACGCTCATGGAGGTGTGGTGTGGATCAATCCACACATTTTTGTCAATGGTGTAGAACAATTATTTTGTTGGAGTGTGGTTTGTGTTCATCCACACTACACCCATGGTGTGGAAGAAAACACACTACCCAATTTCTCATCTACGCTATAGAACACCTCCTAAATTAACCATTTAAATGGGTCGTACCAAAGGTTGGCCAGTTGGGCTTGAAGACTGAATAGAAATAAAATTGAGATTGTAAGTCATGGTGACGAGTCGAGCTAGTCCGTAAGGGTGTCAATGGACCGATTTTGGATTGGATCCAAAATCAATTTGGATGGATTGGATGGACCAATAAAACATATTAGATTGGACAAATCCAGTCCAAAATATTTGTTAGATTGGAGTGGACCTGGCCCGTCCATAATAAATTTATATTGGATTCGGTTGGATTAAGCCAATATATGATCCATTGATATAAGATAAGAATATAGGTGTCAATGGACCGGGTTTGGATTGAAACCAATCTAAATTAAACTGAATTTGAACAGATTGAATAGTCTGAACATTAAATTGGACCAATCCAAAATATTTATTGGATTGAATTGAACCTAATCCATTTATAATAGACTCACATTTGACTAGATCGGATTGGACTAAATCCAGTCCAATTGACATCCCTACTAGTCCGGTATGCTTGATGTATAAGGGCCATGTACTGGTCTTATAAATTGAAACATAGCAAGGGCAAGGGCAATGTTGTTGTTGGGGCTCCATATCAACATAAGCCTAATCCTGAATGTGGAAGTGCCGATGAAAGCCCAACCAACCCGACTTTCCTTCCGCACGAAGCATTAATCATTCGTAGCACAAGACAAATTGTATTCGTCTGGGTGGGTTGTCAAATAGGAGCCACTGCTTTTGTAGGTGCTGGTTATGGAAAGGAGCTGGAGGAAGAAATATTGCTAAAGGATGGATGGTCGGCGGTCGCACTTGAAACAAAAAGATATGGAACACAATTTTGTAGATGTTCAAGATATCGAGAACTTGCAGAGTGTTGGAATGTCGCACTCTATCGGTTAAAAAAGGAGCTCGACACTCATCAGCTTGTGGTTTTTCTTGCAGCTTATAATATATGGAATGGACCACTTTTCACCATTTCTTGGAATGTTGAATCTTGCATGATCGAAGAGAAGTTTTCTCTTATTATATTATTATAAACACTACAACTACTACAATTATAATTATTAGGGGTGTCCAAGGATCGGTTTTGGATTGGATTCCATTCAAATCAAAATCAATTTGAATGGATTAGACCGGTCATATTGAATTTGACTAATCCTGCAGACTTAATGGTTCAAATTATTTATTGGATTGGATCGGATTGAACTTAGTCTATCTGTAACAGATTGCTGGATTGAACTAATATTTAGTCCATTGATAGAAGACAGTAATATAAGTGTCAATGGACCAGGTTTGGATTGGAACCAATTTGAACTTATTGGATGGTCTAAACATTAAATTAGATTCAATAGATTAAATTGGACCTGATCCATCTATAATGACTGATATTGGACCAAATCCAGTCTGAACACCCCCTAACTACTATAAAGTTCCACGTCAGTATTTAAATACATTGGGCCCGCACAACCTCATCATTGATTCCACATCAGTATTTCAATACATGGTGCCTACACATTTTATCCTGGGGCTCATGAATTTATTATTAACGTAAAACCTCATCCTTACGTGCAACTCCAACTCCAACCTACTGACATTAAATTTTCTGCACAGATATGATTGGATGGCTTGCGACCATGGAATTAATTACTCCAGAATAAAAAATTACAACACGACATAGCTACAGTGACATCAACTTTCAATGGTGGGGCCAATTGCCAAACCACATTCACATGAGAGAGTTGCCACTAGATTGTTTTTTGGGGGAGTTGAAGCTCAGTAGTGAAAAGCAATATTTTCAAAACTGGGAATGATCACCTGATTGGTTTTGTTTTATTTTAAAACCTTTATTTAGCTAAAAACTATTGATTTAATCAACAAACCATTGATGTGGATGATCAAACTGTCAAACTTTTCAACCCGAGAATAATTTTTAACTATATTTTAGGTTTTTAAATTTTATTTTTTTGTTAAAATGGGCCGTTCATTCAAACTGAGAATCGGAAAACTTGGTCAAAAGGTGGGAGGAACCCT